GATGGATGATGGATGATGGATGGATGATGGATGATGGATGGATGGATGATGGGTGATGGATGATGGATGGGTGGATGATGGATGATGAATGGGTGGATGATGGATGGATGGTTGGATGATAAACGGATGGAAAAAAGAAAAGAAAGAAGGAAGGAAGGGACAGAGAAAGGATGAGGGATGGCCGGTTGGATGCCCATCCCGCTGGGTCCCCAGGTCATCACAGAGCCATCCTCCTCCAGCCTGGCCAGAATTCCGGGATGCCCACCACTCACTCACCTCCTTCCATCTCAAGCTTCCCGGCGCCCAGTCCTGGCCAAGCACACATGGTTTGGGGGGGCAGCCCGCTGGGGCTCAAATTCCAGCCCTGCCCCTCCCCGCTGGGCCATCCTGGGCAGGCTGCCTCATTCGCCGGGCCGTGGTTTCCTGCTCTGCAACTCGGGGGTATGTCTGCGTGTACAGGACAGGCCCTGCCTCCGGGTGCTGCTGGGGGGCACGTGGCCTGCACCCCTCACGGCCCGCGAGCCCAGCTCGGGGTGGGGTGTGAGCGGCACAGGGTTTACCATGGAGAAACCTGGTGAACGTCGGCCTCACCAAGTGATGAAGGCGCTGGCACAGGAAGGGGGTGAGCACAGCCCCCTCCGTGGTCCCTGCTGGAAACCCACAATCTGCACCCGGTCTTGGGGACACAGCAGACAGGCCCATGCTCGTCACGGGACCCGGGGGGACAGAGAAACCGTCCAGAGTGGAGGGGACCAAGGGAAGCTGGATTTCTGCCCCCACGACGGACGCCGTCGGGACAACGGGCAGATTTGAACAGGTCTGCAGATTAGGGCGCGATGCTGAGTCCCACCGTGGTCGCAGAAAACGCCCAGGCATTCAGGGGCGAGGGGCCGGGCGTCCCCAGCTTACTCTCAGGTGCCTCAGAAAAATACGAGATCGTAACACCTCTACGAGATACAGCTCACATCCCTAACATCCACCATCCAGAGCTTCCCATGCGTTCACAGTTGTGCAACCATCCCCACTATCCAGTTCCAGAACGTTCTCACCGCCCATCTTTCTGGAGCCGCCATCTCTCCCATCGGTCCTCTTCTGGGGACAGCGGGGTTGTTTCCAGCCTCTGTTCTGACGCCCGGGGCTCTGCCTCCCACCCATGGACCCCTGGGCGCCAGACCCCTGGGCCTCAGTTTCCCCCCCGCTCCAGCCCCCGCTCACCTGCCCTCAGGGACCCCAGGGCCGGCAGCAACAGCAGCAGCAGCAGGGACGAGGGGGCCTCCATGGTGCCGGGAGTCAGCGGAGTGCAGGCCCTGGCCCCCAGCACCTCGCCTCACCCCTTCCTGTGGGGGAGGCAACATTCACACCTGCCCCGACCAGTTTATCTCACCCATAAGCATCTCAGAAAGTGTTTCTGGAAGATGTGGATTCTGAAGACCAAACCACACCACCATTATCACACCAGAAAGACGAACAAAAATTCCCCCGTATCATCTAGCACCTTGTCACGTTCACCCCCATCGCAAACACGGGTTTTTTTTGTGGTTTTAATGTGTTTTCTTTGCCCTGTTTTTCTTTTATGGCAAAATACACATAACATGAAATTCACCATTTTAACCACTTGAAGTGCACAGCTCAGTGGCATGAAGCACATTCACACCGTTGTGCAACCATCCCCCCATCCACCTCCAGAACTTTCTCATCCTCCCAAACTGAAACTCTGTCCCAATGAAACACTGACTCACCATCCCCCGCCCAGCCCCTGGCCCCACCGTCTACTTTCTGTCTCTGTGGACGTGACTCCTCAGGGGCCTCCTGTGAGAGGATCACACAGTGTCTGCCCTTCTGTGTCTGCCTCATGTCACTGAGCATCATGTCCTCAAGGTCCATCCACGTTGGAGCAGGTGTCAGAATGTCCTTCCTTTTCATGGCTGAGTAATATTCCAGCGTGTGGATAGCCACTGCGTGTATCCATCATCCATCCACGGATATGTGAGCTGTGCCTAGTTTTTGGTTGTTATGAATAAAGATGGTATGAACGATCGTGGGCTGTGAGCAGTTGGCTCTGCCGTGTGGAGGACTGTGATGGACTAGTGACGTGGGGGGACAGGTGTGCAGGCTTCCTGGGGCTCCCGTCCTGCCTCCCACACACCCCGGGACCCAGACCCGGTCAGAGCTCCATCCCCGGGCTGCAGGGCTGGTTCAGCGCAGAGGACCACCCTAAGCCGGCTCAGGGAAGACCGCGGTCCGGATTTCTTCTACTGCAACTTCTCAGAAACAGCCCTCACTCTCCACGGTACGGGGAGCTGGCAAGATGTCAGCCTGGGGTGGTCCCAAGGCGAGAGGGGTCCACCCGAGAATGAGGCCACGCAGAGAAAGCTGAGCTCGGGGCCTATGCGTTTCCTCCTGCAGCTGTAACAAACTAACAAATCACCACATCTTCACCGCCTGAAACCACACAAACTTCTCTCTCATCCTCCTGGAGGTCAGAAGCCTGACACGTCCCTCAGTCTCTGGGGCTGTTATTCTGCTGACCACAGCAAGGGGGAGACAGAGTCTGGACAGAACCAGCGCCTGGATCCAGCTATGCCTGAAACCCCACGCCTTGTTGGGGGGTTTCAATGAAATTCCTTTTTGCTTGAGTCAGTTTGAGTTGGGTGTCGTGTGTGTCCTTTGCTACTGAAACGGTCATGATAAAGGAAAAAGGGGCTGAAAAAATTGATCAGGAAAGGCAATGAATTCCTCCACGCACCGGGGCCCTGGGAGCACGTCACCGTCCCATCTCTCATCTGACAGCGTCAGGCACGTGAGGTTCCGGAGTTGTGTCTTCACACAGTGGGGTGGCGGGGCCGGGGATGAGTTTAAGAAAAATCAGCATTTATGGAGCCTGTTTGCATGTCTTATCCTGTTTAATCCTAACGGACCCGGGAGGTGGGTGCCATTAGCGTCGGGGGTCCGATTTAGCCGCTGGAAACAGGGAGCCCGGTTCGAGCTGAATTTCAGACAGACAATGGATAATTTCTCAGTATAAGGATGTCCCCGGTATTACACAGATGTCCTCATAGTAAAAACTGTGTTGTTCCCCTGAAATTCAGCTTAACAGGGCGACCCTAACTACCATCCTCACTTTGAGCTCAAAACCCTGAGGTTCTGAGTGTTGAGGCCACTTGTCCACGGCAGGGAGGTTACGGGATTCGAAGCCGGGGCCTCAGACCCGCGTGCAGAAGCAGAAGCTCCTTGGGGGCGTGTGGGGGACGGTCTGAGGGGAGAGGGGATGGGAGAGGGGCAGTGTCTCACGGCGGAGGGGACGAGCCGCCCTACGCAAGCCGAGCGTGATGAACGGGTGGCCCCGTGTCACCCGCTTGGGGAGGTCTGTCTGGCGGGAACGGTGGAGGAGGAGGCCCCCGGCTCCCGAGCGGCGGGGCCGGCCAGCAGCTTCTGGGACGTGGCAGTCAGGGCCGCGATGCTCCCGGGGTGGGGGTGGGCAAACTCTTCTGTAAACGGCCGGGCGGCAAACGTTTTCGGCTTTTTGGGCCACTCTGTGCAGCGGTTCCTCTGCTATGACGCTGCCGCTCGGGAGCCATGGACACAGGTGAATGGGCCGGTTCCAGGTAAACTGCACCACGGGCAGTGGCCAGGTCAGCCTGTGGCCCTGTCCTCCCACGGCCACCACCTGCTGGGCCAGGGACCCGGCCCCAGAATGGAGCAGCCCAGGCGTGGGCGCCACCCGCCCCTCGCTGCCCTTGGCGGAGGGGGAGGAGGAGGAGGGGAGCCTTGCGGCCCGGCCTGGGCAATGGGAGGCGCCCGCAGGTGAGAAACGGGGGTCGGTCTGGCCTGGCGCCCGCGAGCACTGGGAGGGTCCCTCACCCGGGGCCCCCACGCAGGGGCCTGGGGACACCCTGGTGCTCCGAAGGCTGGGTGGCTGGTCCCATGTGGGGGGCTCAGAGGCAGCTGAGGCCGGGAGGGAGGGCAGGGCAGGCCAGCTCTGCTCCAACTGGCGGAGGGGGAAGCCAGGAGGGCGGACGGCTCCCATCCAGGGGCCCTCGCTGCCCCGTGCCGCCCGCTCTCGGGCTTTAAGAAAAGCCAGAAATTAAGACGGCTGGGTGAAACCTTCCACGTTTGAATGTAGGAGAACCACTCATGTCGGGAAACGCACGGACCCGTGGGGCGTCCAGGGCTGCCGGCGGGCGGGCAGACCGCCGTGGGGTCTGCCCTGCGAGGGGGCGTCCGGGCTCCGGCCGCAGAGACGGGTCAGGCAGGCATGGGCCCAGGCTGAGCCACCAGGCTTCCTCCTGACGACGCGGCCGGCCCCGCACCCAGGCCGCTCGGGGCTTCTCGTGACATGGAAACGGAACAGGGGCCTGGGCAACGGAGTCCCCACCACACAGCTTGTGGGCCTGCGGCCGCGCTGGGTACAGCCTCTCAGGCCGCAGGAGGAGCCGCCCGAACGGGGCTGCACGCTCGGCCTCAAGAACCCCACAGGCCGCTGGGCCCTCCCCCCAGACACGAGGGGCGGCCGTGCGCCCGCCTGACCCGGGTGCCTCACACGCGGGCTCCGGCCAGGTGCCAGGTGGCGAGTGGCCCTCTGGGGGGCAAAGGGAGAGGGATTCTCCAGCTTCTCGTAAAGTCACTTTATTTAGATTCCAAACAAACCAAACCAGAGAGAAGAGGCAACCGCGAGTCCCTCCATCCACTCGCGGGCCGGGAGCCCCAGACCCCCGTCTCCAGCCGGCGGGAGCTGCGGAAGGCCGGGTCCCGTCCCT